TTCTATTTCTGCCGGGGTTTGGGTTCCATGAAATCATAGTAAAGAAGAGACTTCATACAATATCTAGTTTAATCTCCTACTCTGAAGAAGAATCCACTAAACCAGGGGTCCTCAACCTTGACAACTTTAAGACTTGTGGACTTCAACTCCCAGATTGCCAAGGTTGAGGACCCTTGCACTAAACTCCTTCTGACTGGTAGCATCTACCACCACCACTTCCCCATTTGAAGTTTTGCATTGAGGGGGAATCCATTACTGTTCTAGGTAGTCTGTTTCACTATCAGGAAATTCTCCCAAATATTCAGCCAGAATATTCTTTAATTTCAACATATCCATACTTGTTCTGCTCTTGATATCAGTGGAAAGCAGTCTTGTCCCTTCTTGCAAGTGACAGCTTTTACACAGATATTTGTAGACCCATTACCACATCTCCTGTGGTGGTTTTACCTTTGTCAAGTTAAACATGTCCAGTTCTTCATAGATCTTGGTTTCCAGACCTCACATGATCTTGGTAATTATCCACTAAACCCCCTTAAAATATTCCATGTTTCTTTTAAATTACTTTAAAATTTCATATTCCAAAATAAGCACAGAATACAGTGGAGCTATTATCCCAATGCAATCCGGACACAATTGTTATTTGATGATGTTATTGTTATATAATGATGTCATCTACTTTGGGTAATGAAATGTCTGCAAGAAAACAACCAAATTCAGAGAGCACCAAGGACCCCTCATTTCAACCCTGAGCTACAAATATTATTCTTTTATTAATTATCATTGTAGCCCAAGATTGCATTGGCTCTTTTAGCTTCTTATCTCATCACTCGCTAATATTCTGCTGGTGCTCTACTTGTACTCCTGTCTCATTTCCACATGTATTCTGCCAAACCAAATCTACATAATTTCACATTATGGATTGGATTTTTCTATGCACTTGTCATAGGTGAACACCACTGTGTTTGATTGGTTTAATGTTCAAGCCCTTCAAGCTAATTTTGAATTTTGTTCATTAGTATATAAGCCAACCTCCTATCTTGGTGTAAACCAAGGGTCCCCAACTCCCGATTCATGGACCAGTACTGGGCCGCGGCATGCCCACAACCGGTCCACACAAACAAGCAATGTCCCATCTGAGGGATGCAGGCAGCACACAAAACCATGCACTCTCTGGTCCGCAGAAAAACCTTTCTCCACAGAACCGATCCCTGGTGCCCAAAAGGTTGGGGACCTCTGGTGTAAACTACAACTCAGTGATCTACATATCCAAAAGGATTTGAATCCTAACATGTTGTTAAAGATTCAAAAAGGCCTTAATAAACTTGAACATTCAGCCCTATCCAATAAAATGTTGTTCAGTGGTAAGAAATGCATGAATCTGCACTTAGGAAAAACCAGATACACAAATACAAGATAGGCAGTAGTGGATCTGCAAAAAACATGGAGGGAGAGGCAAAAACAGGAAGGAGATAAAAGGACAGAAGACTGAACTTAATAACACAAATCTACATTAGCTATTTATAAAAAGGCAAAGAACTTCCAGACAAGCCTTGACTATTCTGTATGATACTATCTTGATTTTTCGGACAACACCCTATGGATACTTCTATTATTTATTTATACTATTTACACTATGTGGTGTTTATAGTCCTGCCTTCATATTTACTACAAATGCACTGTAGATTTTTCTTTTGCTTCCATCTAGTTAGTCATCCTGAAATTTACTGTGTATCTCTAAGCAAGACAAAAATAATCAGATTTTACTTGCAATTTCACTCAAGTGGTATTGTTATTGTAAAGGTAAAGCTTTTAGGGCAGATCTCCAGAGTTACCTCCCTGAAAATAATTACTGCCTGACAAGATCATTCAAATCCTTTATTATTCTCTGGCTTTTGCTTCCTTTCCTTATGCCTGCCTAACAATCCTGGGTATGGATTGACAGATTTTAAAGTAGGAATTATTTTTTGTATTGTTTTCCCTCCAGAGCCTAATATGTGAGACCTAAACCTATGGCTGATATGAGACAAACAAGCAGCAACTTTTGAAGCAAGATATGTTAAGACTCTGGTAAGTTTTCTAATCTAAGTGAAAGGATAAATATCAAATATCACACATCCTTTCTCCTTTGCCTTGAGAAAAAAAAATCTTCTACAAAACACTTCAAAGTTAATATTCTTGCATATTCAGGCAGTTTTAGATGGAGTATACAATAACCTTTTCCCCCAGAGATGTCCATACAGCATGAAGAAAGAAAATCAAGATGGTTCTGCCTTTTTGTCTGCCTTATAGGCAAAGGTTTGATTGCACCAACATGGCCACCATTTTGACTTTTTTGGCCACATGCTGAGACCGTCCCTGAAAAGTACTCAAATAAATATGCAGGTGATAGTAGAGTATAAATTCGTAGAACAGAGAAACAGAAAAGTGAATTCTTTTGAAGATGGTCAATGAACAATATAAAGGAGTTCAGTATATCTGCTAACATGTGTTTGGTAAGCAAAGGCATAAAATGCATAAAGAACTCAGCGAAATCATGTAATACACTTTATTACTACAGCTGTCACAAAAATATTTAGGTTAATACAGGGGTGCTCAACCCCTGGCTAAGCCCGCTATCGGCCTGTGGCCCATTCAGAACCTGACCGGATGAGCGGCTGACCAGCGTGCATACACATGCACACAGCTCAACTTGCACAAGCAGCAGGCTGGCACACATGCAGCTCAATTTGCACAAGCAATGGGCCAGCACACACACCCTCTCCACACTGCCAGGCCATAAAGGTTGGGGGCCACTAGGTTAATACTGTGGGCAGACGCATGCATATATGTAAAATACCTTATGTATTGGAGACAAATTAAGAAAATAATATAATACTAATTTTAGTATATTCCTATATTCCATTTTTACTGAACTCTTGTTTAGTCAGTCTTTCTTTAAAGGCACATTTTTTTCAATCTGGCACCCTCAAGATATATTCTGGGAATTCCAAATCTCATAATTCCCAACTAGTATCCTGTCTAAGAATCCTGGGATTGTAGTAAAAACACATCTGGAACTCAACAAATTGGGGAAGACTATCTACAGGGAATTTTAGTTCCTCTTGCCCTCTTGCTATCTAGCCTTTAGCAAAATCCACACATTATATCAAGCCAAAATGTGGCTTCTTTTATTTTGATTTAGGAATTTAATTTTGGGGGAAGGTAGCTTATTCACTAATTAGACCCTTATTATAAGCCCTATCTATGCACACTTAAATAAGAGGAACTAAATTCAGTTGGACCTTTTCTGGATACATATTGAAAAATTATACAAAACTAATAGAATTATAATTGTATAGATAGCAACAGAACTTCTGTATATCATCTTTTTATGGAAGTTCATATACCAAAGGATATACATTCAGGGTCAGCCTAATGGAGCCCGGGGGAAGCAGCTATCTTGGAAGAGAAGTGGCAGTAGGAGCCAAATTCTCATCTACTTTACATATCATCAGGTCAATGAAATCTGGCTGAGCAAGGATGGGATCATGTTAGGTAGAAAATAGATAAACAGCCTCTTCATATTCACTGCATTGCAATAAAAATGTCACCAGCTTTGCTTTAAAGAAGTGCAAGGCAAGATACATAGATGAAAAACCAATCATCAAAGGAATATCAAGAGGCCTTTAGGCAACTGTTTTACGTTGCACCCCATATAGGAAGTTCTGCAACTGTAACATCAATAATTTCATAATGTAATGGTATAGTCTTTCAAATCCTTCAAATATATCTTAGCATTCTTAAATGTATTCTGGGTAAATACAACAACACATATTTTTCCTTCCTTAATTTTTTTTTGTTATTTGATACCTCTACAAATCATTCTGTATAAAATAAAATCCCAAATATACATGAACATTATCCAAATAATATTTTCCACTTCCTTATTGTATTTACTACTGTATATCATTGACATATACTGTTTTTGTTGTTTTTCAGTTACTAAGTCATGTCTGACTCTTCGTGATCCCACGGACCATAACATACCAGGCCCCTCTGTCCTCCACTTTCTCCATCAGTCTTCCCAAACTCAGTGGCAGTGCATTGATGACACCATTGACATATACCAAATCATCTTCCAAAATCATAATATACCTGAATTTAGATTATACTTGATATTATTCTAATTCAAAGATTTATATCCAATGTAGAAGCAGGAATAGAATAATCCTAAAATTTAACTGCATCTTGACTGTTTATTATATAATTCAGAAACTATATGGCATCTTCATTCAGGTCACTTTAAAATTTCTTCTAATGGATCCAGACTAATTTCTGTTCTAGATTTGGACTAATATAAACATCAATGTAAGAAAATAATTTCATCAATCTATTTTGCACATTAGACAAAAATACCTATCACAGCTAAAACTTTTGGAGACCAAATAAAAAAAATATATTGATGCTCACACAATTTACTGTGGCTAGGTTTTCAGATATTAACTAACTGACCTCCTACAATGTATTAACATAGCTACATTAAATTCTTATGCAAAGTATGTCTTATCAGAGAGAAAGACAATTTGCCATTTATTAAGTTGAGATAAATATAAAGTAGATTATGTAGGAAAAAAATCTGCTGCTTTCATTAGTGAATCTAATATGACCTAACTAAAGTATGTCTTTAGGGAGAAATGTACAAAGCAGTTCAAGATCAAGTTGTGCCAACCTTGAAACAGACTGCTCCAAACTTACTGGAAGTAATCTGGGCTAGAAACAAAACAGTCTAGACCAGGTATAGAAGTAATCATCAGGAAAAGATAAAATGTGGGCAACACACTTTCTAAACATAGAAGATCAAAGGATTCCCTTTCATGCAGCTGTTCATTGGATTGTGTGTAGACAACCACAATTTACTTTAATATCCTACTTGGTGGAACACCATTTGGTGCTTAAAATGTCTTTAGAACAAACTTAAGATTTACAAAATGCATGTGATGTTTACGTTTGGGATTTCTTACCTTCCTCAATATCGTTCCTTAATGAAGCTTCCAGCAATGCAACACTGGCCTCAAAAGACACCTTCTTGGAGCAGACAACATTCCTCTTTTTCTCATGCTTTCGTTTCTTGTGCTGCATCTCCTTCTCATACTGGGCCCATTTCTTCAACTGCTGAGCCCTGCGCTTCTGAGCAGCTCGGAGTCGCTCTAGGGTAGGTACCTTATCCAGAAGATGGAGCTCTGTCAGCAAGTCCATATGGGTGTCCATTTCTTCGACAAATTGGTTGATGGGATTAGCCACACAGCTGCTGAATGCTGAATAGCCCTGTCTAGGCGACTACGTAACAACTCTCTAGCATTAAGAGAACATTCTGAAACATGAGCGGCACTTCTCAGAGTTTGAGGAACACATGGTGGCATCCTGAAAAAAGAGAAAAAAGGCCAGAAGTGACTACTGTATGTATCTTGTCCTAGATTTTTAAAAAAAGAACAGGACAAGGGGAAAAAAATCAGTAATATTGAATGGGGACACTGATAAGATTATAAATGTTCGCTATTACCATGTATATTGTAAAATATTTAGACAAATGATTTATTCCTGGAACAGATTGTTTTAACCTGTGGATAAATGTATTCTTTCAATCAGAATTTTGCCAAACAGTTTCTCAAACCCAGCTATCAAAGTCATCCCCTTGTAGTTTGTATGCATTCTTGCTACCTTTGTGTAGACTAGAGGAACATTAATAGCATACTTTCAATCTTCAGGCACAGATGCAGCCTTTACACACATGTTAACCAGTCATACATTAAATCAATAAGCAAGCCATATCCGTATTTTAATATTTATCCAGTTGTATTACCTATAACTATTACCTATAACTATAACCTAATCTATGCCCCAACCACTGGTGCTGAAGAGGATGAAATTGACCAGTTTTATGAAGCCCTACAGCACCTTATAGAATTAACACCAAAAAATGATGTCCTTATCATCATGGGGGATTGGAATGCTAAGGTAGGAAGCCAAAAGATAACTGGAATAACAGGCAAGTTTGGCCTTGGAGTACAAAATGAAGCAGGGCACAGGCTGATAGAATTTTGTCAAGAGAATACGATGGTCATAAAAAACACTCTTTTCCAACAACCCAAGAGACGGCTCTACACATGGACATCACCAGACATAGAAATCAGATTGACTATGCTCTGCAGCCAAAGATGGAGAAGCTGTATACAGTCAGTAAAAACAAGACCAGGAGCTGACTGTGGCTCAGATCATGAGCTTCTCGTTGCAAAATTTAGGCTTAAATTGAAAAAAGTAGGGAAAAGCACTAGGCCACTCAGGTATGAACTAAATCATATTCCTGATGAATATACAGTAGAGGTGACAAATAGATTTAAGGAATTAGATCTGATAGACAGAGTGCCTGAAGAACTATGGATGGAAGTTCGCAACATTGTACAAGAGGTAGCAACTAAAACCATCCCAAAGAAAAAGAAATGCAAGAAAGCAAAATGGCTGTCTGAGGAAGCTTTGCAAATAGTTGAGGAAAGAAGGGAAGCGAAAGGCAAGGGAGAAAGAGAAAGATACACCCAATTGAATGCAGAATTCCAGAGAGTAGCTAGAAGAGATAAGAATGCCTTCTTAAATGAACAGTGCAAAGAAATAGAAGAAAACAACAGAATAGGGAGGACCAGAGATCTCTTCAAGAAAATTGGAGATATGAAGGGAACGTTTCATGCAAAGATGGGCATGATAAAGGACCAAAATGGCAGAGACCTAACAGAGGCAGAAGAGATTAAGAAGAGATGGCAAAACTACACAGAAGAACTGTACAAGAATGAGCTTAACATCCCAGATAACCACAATGAGATGGTCACTGACCTCGAACCAGACATCCTAGAATGTGAAGTGAAATGGGCCTTAGAAAATCTGAGCAACAACAAAGCTAGTGGAGGTGGCAGTATTCCAGCTGAACTATTCAAAATCTTAAAAGACGATGCAGTAAAAGTGCTACACTCAATTTGCCAGCAAATTTGGAAAACTCAACAGGGGCCACAGGATTGGAAAAGGTCAGTTTACATTCCAATTCCAAGAAAGGCAATGCCAAAGAATGTTCAAACTATCGTACCATTGCACTCATTTCACATGCTAGTAAAGTTATGCTTAAAATCCTACAAGCTAGACTCCAGCAGTATGTGGATCGAGAACTACCAGAAGTACAGGCAGGATTTCGAAGAGGCAGAGGAACTAGAGATCAAATTGCCAACATACGCTGGATCATGGAGAAAGCTAGGGAGTTCCAGAAAAACATCTACTTCTGCTTCATTGACTATGCAAAAGCCTTTGATTGTGTGGATCACAACAAATTGTGGCAAGTTCTTAAAGAGATGGGAGTACCAGACCATCTCATTTGTCTCTTGAGAAACCTATATGCGGGTCAAGAAGCAACAGTGAGAACTGGACACGGAACCACTGATTGGTTCAAAATTGGAAAAGGAGTCCGGCAAGGCTGTATACTGTCGCCCTGCCTATTTAACTTATATGCAGAGCACATCATGAGAAAGGCAGGCTAGATGAATCAAAAGTTGGAATTAAGATTGCCGGGAGAAATATCAACAACCTAAGATATGCAGATGATACCACTCTAATGGCAGAAAGTGAAGAGGAACTAAAGAGCCTCTTGATGCGGGTGAAGAAGGAGAGTGCAAAAGTTGGCTTGAAACTCAACATTAAGAAAACCAAAATCATGGCATCCGGCCCTCTCAATTCCTGGCAAATAGATGGGGAAGAAATGGAGGTAGTGACAGATTTTATTTTTCTGGGCTCAAAGATCACCTCAGATGGGGACTGCAGCCAAGAAATTAAAAGACGCTTGCTCCTGGGGAGGAAAGCTATGGCAAATCTAGACAGCATACTAAAAAGCAGAGACATCACCCTGCCAACAAAAGTGCGTATAGTCCAGGCCATGGTTTTCCCAGTTGCAATGTATGGCTGTGAAAGTTGGACCATAAGAAAGGCTGAGCGCCAAAGAATTGAGGCCTTTGAACTATGGTGCTGGAGAAGACTCCTGCGAGTCCCTTGGACTGCAAGGCGTTCAAACCGGTCAGTCCTAGAAGAGATCAACCCTGACTGCTCTTTAGAAGGCCAGATCCTGAAGTTGAAACTCAAATACTTTGGCCACCTAATGAGAAGGAAGGACTCACTGGAGAAGGGCCTAATGCTGGGAAAGATTGAGGGCAATAGAAGAAGGGGACGACAGAGAATGAGATGGCTGGATGGAGTCACTGAAGCACTAGGTGTGAACTTAAATGGACTCCAGAAGATGGTGGAGGACAGGAAGACCTGGAGGAACGTTGTCCATGGGGTCGCGATGGGTCGGACACGACTTTGCAATTAACAACAACAACAACAACATTACCTATAACTATTTCCTCCCTAATTTTCAACATTCCTACAGTATTTATTACAATCTTTTAATGATGATTATTATTTGGGGACTGGAATATTTACAGCATTCATTTCAGTTTCACTGCTCAACACAGCACTAGCATTCCCAAACAAAGACAAACACTCTAAAACCATTTTTCATTTTGGATTGGCAAAAAGAGATAAGCATGCCCATGGACAGAAATAGTTTTGGTTGGTTTTTTTTAAGGTCTTCGTGATCATGAACACAATCCAAGAAATCTTTTGTCTGATATTTGAATTCTATCAAGTTGTGAATGATTTGAGTTAATATTTTAATAATAATGTTCCAATATATAAGGGGCTGCCACAAAGAAGATGGCAATCTATGCTCCAAAGCACCAGAAGGCAAGAAAATAAACAATGGATGGAAACTAATCAAGGAGAGAAGCAACCTAGAATTAAGAAGAAATTTCCTGATAGAACAATTAATCACTGGTACAACTTGCCTCCAGAAGTTGTGAGTGCTTCAACACTGGAGGTTTTTAAGAAAAGATTGGGCAACCATTTGTCTGAAATAGTATAGGGTTTCCTGCCTAAGCAGGAATTGGACTAGAAGACCTCCAAGGTCCCTTCCAACTTGGTTATTCTATTATTTCTATGAAGAAAAGCTTTCACTCTCTCCTAAGTAGGATTCACCAATTGGTACAAAAGAAATACATAGTGCTTACTTGTGAAGACATTTCTTCCAGAGTGGAAGAATCAGCAAGAAAGGATGCAACTTATATTTCTAGCAAATCAGCAATTGCCATCAAGCAAAAACCTCTTTGTTTAACCACAAAATGAAGCAGCATTGCTCAGAGATAGGCTTATAGCTGCATAGAAATCAATGCAACAGTTGCTTTGAGCAGCAATTGGGAACAGGCGGGCATGCTGATCCATTAAGAACCTAAACCCTTGAGGGAAAAGCAACTGGCCAGTTTTTTTCCTTTCAACTTCAGTGCAACAATTCATTAATTAGCACATGGCACAGTTCAGAAACTCTATGTGGATCTCTACTCTGCTCACTTTTCAAAATGACCTAGTTTCCTTCCTGGAGTAGAAAAAAAAAAAAAAAAGAACGGAAACAGAATAAAGATATTGCACTTGGATTTTCCCTTTTTGTACACACTGGCCAGACCTAATTACAGCAGCATTGCAACTTTTGCATACCTGTTAAGCAGCAGAAGCCAATGGATCAGTCAGCAATTTCTCTCCCCACCCCACCTCTCTTCTCTACCCACCCAGATCTGTTTCCATGAAGCAGCACCCAAAATCTTTTGAGATATGCTGAGAACATCCTGCAAGCTACAAAGCATTTACTACAAACACAGAAAAGAGAATATCAACTACCCAGGTGGCCAGTTACAGAAAAAGAAAGATGGCAAGATTGTGACAGGCCTACACGGTTCACAATCTCCGGGAGTACAATAATCTGAAAAGGGCCCAGAAGCAACAATGGAAAGCCCAGGCATTCTCCAGCTTTCTTCAATTAATAGGAAATCAAACCAATTCTAGCTAACTTGTATGTGAAAGAAATACCTCTTATACCCCCAATACTAGTTGTATGCTGAAACTGTATATTTGCCTTTTCACTTATCTTCCCCGTGGCTATATATACTGTCTATTTTAATAGAACCAAAGTATACTTGTTATTGTTTATTTGTATAATTAAAAATTGTTTTGCAATTTATCTCTCTTACAGAGCTATTATTTATACTTTACTTACCATCAATTTTATTTTTATTGTGCTATAATATAAGCTGTGATTAATTATATTCCATATTTTGCTGCTGCTGTCATTCTCATCTTCTGTTGCTTTTTCTCTCAGTTTCATATGCAGAGTATTCTTCACATGACCTAGGTTTCTATCTTCTATATCGGTGGTTCTTAACCTTTTCTTCAACCTGAACCCCTTTAAATATCTTTTGTGGCCACAAACTATGAGCACAGACCCACAAGACTTAACTCAAGAT